CCAGGCGGAGCAGCAGTTGCAGCCCTGGCTGTCCCTGGAGCAGTGGGAGCTGCCGCTGGCCCCAGGCACTGTCCTGTGAGGAGCTGCTGAAGGACGCTGAGACTGAGGGGGCTGAGGAGGCGCTGATGCTGAAGGGACCTTGCAAACCTTGAGGTGTGAGGGGCACTGAGGGCTGTGGGGGAGCAGAGGGCCATGGTGGCACGGAGGTGACAGAGGCACGGGCTGAGGGCTGTGCCGGCTCTGAGGGGACACAACGGCTCAGAAGGGACTGAGCGGGGGGAGAGGCCTGGGAGAGGCCCAAGAAACTGAAGAGGGGGCTGGGGCTTTGCCGAGAGGACGGCGGGGCTGAGGGGATGGAGGGGGCCAGGAGGGAGCACACAGAGCTCAGGGACTGCAGCTCTGCCAGGCCTTGCAACCAATTGCAGAGCCTCCACTTTTGCCACCACAGCTGTCCTGAAGAGCTTGAGGACAGGCAGACACTGAGAGGAGCCAGCAGGGAGAAGCTGAAGGCCTGGAGCAAGAGCAGTGAGCAGGGATGTGCTGGGGCCACGCGAGAGCCTGGGTGAGGCCCCAGGGCTGGTGAGGCCGGGCAGGGCTGAGGGTGGCGTGGGCTTTGGCCGTGGGCGCTGCCCGGCCGGGCAGGAGCGGCCCCTGCCCGTGCTGGGGCTGCTCAGCGCTGCTGCCCCGGCCGGCACAGGGGCTGTCCTTGGGCAAGGCAGCTGTGCCGGCAGGGCCCGGGAGCTGTGCCGGGCTGCCGGGGGCTGCGGGACAGTCCCGCCGCGCCTGCGCTCGCCACACGCTGGCCCGCTCGGCCTGCTTGTTCTTGCCAACCCTCCTGGGGAGGCTCGGAGATTTTCGCTTCCCTGCTGGAAGTGCAGCTGCTGCCAAGGGAAAGGTCCCAGCACTGACTCGCTCTTCCCTTTGCCTCCCAGATGTCCCATCTGCTGTCCCTGTCCAGGAGAGCTGCTCTGCATGGCAGGAAAAGACTGAGGGAGAGGCTTTGAAGATGGGGCGGCTGGGATCCCTCTGATGATAGCTCTGTTTAGAGATGGATGGCCTTGCACATAGAAAATGAGAATTACATGAATATTTCCTGTGTATAGAGTTGTGTAGTTACCTATTTCTATTGATGTGGTTGTAGGTCTATGGCTGTTTAAATAGGTTTATTGGTATTTCTATAGGAACATACATGTATTTTTATATGTACGTTTATCTATTTCTAAATAGAATTCTTTTGACATGTGTATCCAGATGTATAGGTGTATATTTGTACTGATGCAGTTGTATGGCTATTTAGACTGGGACAGTGACATTTGTATATTTTCAAATAGTTTTGTTTAATATATCTATATGTATATATATTGTATGAAATATGTCATATTTAATCTGTATTTCCATCTGTAGATTGTTATATATGTATATATAGAAGAATTTAGTTCTATTGAAACATGTATGGGGTGGTATAGTTGTATAATTCTATCGATCGAATTCTTAGTACAGGGTTATTTAGAGGGAGACACTGATATTTTTGTATTTCTATATGGGCTGTAAGATTGTGCTAATCTGTAATAAATTAAGCTGTTAAACACCTCACTGATCTTTGTTTATAGTGACTTGTAGAGGTTAGCAAGAAGTGAAGTTTTTGCTAACTGAAGTTGGTATTTGTATATTTTTACATGGCATTGTTGTGCTAATATAATAAATGACTTTTTTTAAACTTAATGGAGATTTTGATAGTTGTGTATTGTCAGCGCAGGTGTAGCAATTTGTAATAAATGACATTTTTCAACTGAAATGGATTCATGTGTATTTGTAGCTCAGCTGTGCGGCTGCAGCAATCTGCAAGCAATGACATTTATCAGCTGAGATGGGTGGTTTGTGATTTGTGCTCTCCAAAGCAATGGGCAGATGGAAATGCCATGACGCTGGAGGATTTTGGTGATGAAAATCTCCAGCCACGCCCAGCACATGCCCCACTTGCGCTCAGGCTGGGCAAGGAAAGCGCAGCTTTGGGATGGCAGCAGAGCCACACGTTGGCTCAGAACTCGCTGCACAGGCCTGCTGAGAAAACTCTGGGACTCTGCTGCGCGTACAACTCCAAGCAGGAGGCAGCGGGGCAGGAGAAAGCATTCACAATGAAAAAACAAAGAGAAATTGTGTCCAAACAGATGTGAGGATACTCTGGGAGTTTGATCAAATGCTCTAACTCAGCACTGCCTGGGCTCATCTTCAGCAAAACTAGTTTGTTAAAAGCTGAACACCTTCCAGGAAAGAGAGATTGCTCTATCTTTGGTTCAGGAATGGCACGGTGACCAATCCCAGGTCACTCAGTCCATTTGCACCCAACACCAATGTGATGGATGGCAAGAATGGCATTTATTGCTGGAGAATTTGACACTTTATAACCTAGGTTCACAGTGTCACTCCCATGTGCTTTCATCACAGCTAGGTGCTATTGGCTAATTACGGGGGTCATTACCATAAACTATGGAGGAGGGGGGTGACTCCATCTTTCCGTTACATCCCGATATCTTCCGACCGCCGGGCCCTGGCTGACCACATTTCCCCCCCTCCTTATGCTTAACTAAATTTGCTAGAATATGAGTTGTTTTCTAGGTTCTGAAGTTATTTTATGTATATCTGTTTTTAATCATTTTATCTAATTTATCTATATTATGAAAAGTTTTAAAAGTAGATATAATAGACTTGAGTAAAAATATAAGGTGCACTATACTTAAGTAAAAAGGTTAAATACTTATTAAATCGACACCGCAGTGTTTCATTAACAAACAATAAGGCACAGGAGGTGACCAAGTGCATTCTTGGAGCATCTGCTGTCTTTCTACAAACAGGATGTTGACCCTCTCTAGTTGGCTCTTGACAAAAGACACAAGCTTATTTAAAACATGGTCCAAAGTTTAGCACCAGTAAGATCATTACGATTGGCCCGATCAGAGTGGACACCAGGCTGGTCAGCCACGGAGACTGGTTAAACAGCGATTCAAACCACCCTTGTTGGGCCTCTCTATCTCTCTTTCTCTGGGCTAATCTTTCCCTCAGTTCAGCCATAGAATCTCTGACCGCTCCGGTGTGATCAGCATAAAAGCAACACTTTTCTCTCAGGGCAGCACAGAGGCCTCCTTGCTGCATTAACAGAAGTTCTAGCCCACATCTATTTTGTAAGACAACCTCAGAGAGTGAGGACAGTGACTTCTCTAGAAGAAAGATGGATCTTTCAATCCTCTGCAGGTCCTCATCGATCGTCATCTGCAGCTGAGAGAACCCTTGCTGTTGGGTGTCTCGTTAGGGACTTTTAGATTAGGTTCTTTTTCCCTTTCAACTGAAGATTGAGGAGAGAGAGGCAGTTTTCTCTTGTTCGGTCTCAGTTGTTTATTCTTCTTTTATCAGCATTACAAGGTACAAGGAGCTATGTGCACTATGATAGAAAAGGGTAAAATGGCTAACAAAGATCCTCTTCAGGTTTTTATATGTCCATTTACCCAATTAACAGATGCCAACTAAATTACTTTTCTTAGTGACCCAAAGACCCAACACCTGTGCGCTGCACTGCGGCATTTTTTACCCAATCACTTACTACTACCCAAAAACCCTTAAGAGAAGAACATAAAGAAGCAAGGAGAAGGACAAGAGACAACACCCTAAATCTTCCATCTTGTCTCCTGTTCTCTAAACTACTTTTTCACCCAGTGATTTAAGAAACTTTCTAATCTACACACTTACACTTTTCCTATCTAATTTTAGCATTTGAACATGTATCACCATGAAAACATGCTCATGAATTTCATGTCATATGAAATTAAGTGTTTCTTTGAATCCTAGAACTAAGTATTAGAAACAAGGGCACACACTCTGTATCTCAGACTCCAACACCAGAGTGAGCTAGTGAGGAAAATGCCTGGCCTGGCTGGGCAGGGAGCTTTTGCAGGAACTCAGGAAAAAGATGAGGGTGCATCACCTTTGGACAGAGGGACAGGCAACTCAGGAAATGTTTAAGGATGTCGTTAGGTCCTGCAGAAAGAAAAGTAGAGAGGTGAAAGCTGAATGAGAGCTTAACGGTGCTGCTTCTGTGGAGGAGAATATATCACATCTCACGGGAGCTGATCTGGCTCTGTCACTGGGGCCTGCACAGGAGTGGGTCACACCCCAGGAGCAGGATGAGCCCAGGTGTGACTAGAGTACTCACTCTACGGCTTTTGGCTGTCAGTCTGAACTCTGAGGAGACAAGGATGAGAGGGAGGTCTTTTGCATGGGATAACAGAGGATTTATTGCTCTGGGGAATGTTGGGGAAAAAAGATAGAAAATGTGAGCGTGCAACAGCTGAAATAGGGAGGTGGTTCAAAGGGAGGGTCCAAAGCATCAGCTAATCAGAGATATCCTGGGGAGGGTAAAAGGAGGGGTTCACAAAATCATCATCCAATTGGGGCCCAAAGCACCAAGGATCCACTGTGACACTGCAGGGCCCAAAGCACCAAGGATCCACTGTGACTCCACGGAGTGTCATGGAACCGTGGAGACCATTGTGACACTGCAGGGCCTCATGGAACCATTCTGACACCAAGCTGGCTGGGAGTGTGGATGTGCTGGAGGGCAGGAGGGCTCTGCAGAGGGAGCTGGACAGGCTGGATGCAGGGCCCAAAGCCAACAAGGTGAGGTTGAACAAGACCAAGTGCCGGCTCCTGCACTTTGGCCACAACAAGGCCTGCAGTGCTCCAGGCTGGGGCCAGAGTGGCTGGACAGCGGCCAGGCAGAAAGGGAGCTGGGGCACTGATGGACAGCAGGCTGGACATGAGGCAGCAGTGTGCCCAGGTGGCCAAGAAGGCCAATGGCCCCTGGCCTGGATCAGGAATGGTGTGGCCAGCAGGAGCAGGGCAGGGATTCTTCCCCTGTGCTGGGCACTGCTGAGGCCACACCTCGAGTGCTGTGTCCAGTGCTGGGCCCCCAATTGAGGAAGGCCATGGAGGGGCTGGAGCGTGTCCAGAGAAGGGCAACAAGGCTGCTGAGGGGTCTGGAGCACAAGTCCTGTGAGGAGTGGCTGAGTGTGGTGGGTTTTAGCTC